AACGGGGAAAGAGAGCATCGCATCATAATCAGTGACGTCTCAAAACACGTCATCAACGTGCAAAGTGACGTCATCTATCTCTTGATAGGTAACATACTCAATCCCATCTCTGCTGAATCATCGCCGATTTCCCTAGTTTACAGCCGTATAAAAGCCTCCTCCCGATATCGAAATCTACAATAAAGCGATAATTCAAGCAAAGAACCAACCCGCCACAGATGCCAATGACATACGGCTGCTTGAGTGTATTTCCTCTGCTGTCATACCACGGCGGCCTCCCTTTTGTGTATATTTTCTGGAATGAATGAGCATCAGTCTTGTTTCCACCGTTCTCAGATCAGTCAGTATCTATTCTAAAAAAGATTCATGGCAGAAGGATAGGGATAAACGGATATTTCCAAGGCAGATTGTGGAACCATAAAGTCACAGAACCGAGGTGCTACTTAGCCAAAGGGAAGGGGGCGTAACAGCATGGCGCGGCCAGAAGGGACTTCCCTCTCGTGGTTTAGACTCAGAAGGGAGCAGTCGACCCACGGAGTCCACACGTCTCAGGGCACAGAGAAGCGAGTTTGGTGGCACCGTCGCTTGCCTTTCCCGACCTCCCTAACTAGTATACCGCTGAAATCTAGATGATCTGATAATACATGGGCATCTGGCGCTGAGCCAAACCATCGCCCCATGAACACGCCCCATCATCCGCAGCACAAGACTGTGAATGCGCCTTGCAATTCACTGAATAGGATCTAACTCGTAGTAGGGGGAGTACCTTATACCCTCAAAACCAACTGGGTGATTATCATTGGGCAAACTGAGAAAACTAGGAGGTTTGACACTGCGCACGCAATCCGGCGTAGCCTAATTTTCATGAGTTCAGCAGTATAAGGAAGCAAGCACATTTCACGATAACAAACTATCTCACCCTTCCGGTCTTTGTAGTGTAGAGATGATGTTCGGCTTTGGAGCCACTCATCGTTCGTAATCGCCTACGAGACGCAGGTGGTGACGGTGAAGATCGAGGGCACACTCCATTCACCAATTCGTTCACCGATGAACCTGTAGTAATTCTATCAAGGGTTGGACCTAGAGAACATTTTAACAGCGACAAGCAGGCAAAACAAAGGAAGGCGCAGTTCGGCGACGGGGAGGGGCATTTTTCACTTTCGCTGCTTCACTGATTACGGCTTACAAGTTTCACCCTGGTGAAACCTGTCAACTCCTCCAGGCTAACGAAATAGCTCAGGAAATGAATAGCATCATGAATTTAC